TTTTTCCCCCCCATCCTCCAGCCAGATCACTTTGCTCCACTCCCCCTGCGGGACGTGGGCTTGGATTTGCAGAGCAGGGCAGGCTGGGGCAGGGTCGCCCTGTTTCCTGCTGCCGCAGTGAAGCGGAGCGACCCGGCTAGGAGAAAGGCAGCAGAACGGAGCAGGCAGCTGGGTAACTCTGCTTCCCGCAGCTTCCACCCAGGCTTCTGCTGCCACCCTGCAACCAGACCCCTGGTAATCCTATGGGTTGCATCACTTGGGGAGGGGGCTTCAGGGAATGGGAGCAATGGGGGGCAGGGAGAAGGGAGGAGCAGAGGCAGGAGAAGGTGGGATGGGAGCAGAGGAGGGGCAGGAAGAGACAGGGTGGGGGTCAGGGCCTGTTTCAGAAGGGGAGTGGTTGCCCCGGACTCCCCATCCTCCTAGGGAAGCTCTGCGAATACACCTGCCTTCTGCCACAGATTGACCACAGCTTACCTTCCTGCAGCCTCTTCTGTTGCCACTTCCTGGCTTTTCTGGGCTCTATCCCTTCCTGTTCAGCCAAGCCAGGGGTCTAATCAATCGGTCCCTTCTCCCTGGCTCCTCCTCCAGGTGCTGCCTGGGGAGTTCATTGGCCTACCAGTCCACCTCAGCTCTTTCAAGTTGTGTGTGGGTTGCACCCCCCCCTTTACAGTTGGGTATTCTTAGGAGGGTGATACCCTTACCAAGGGGATTTTGTGCATTTCCTGGGGGTAGGAAGCATGAATGGCTCCCCTCCTGTGGGGAGGGAACAGAGAAGCCTGAAGCAAATTGTAGCCTTTTCCTTCCCCGATTCTGCTTTGTCCCCAGGCGAAGGGCAGTGACTGTGCTGAACCTGACACGATCACACTTCGTCACAGCCCAAAGGGTGGGCTTCACCTCACCAGCAAGAAGATGGGCTCCAAGCCGCAGGGTGGCCAGTTGAGAGGTGAGCCTTGGGTATGATCCCCGGTATGCTTTCTTCGGCACGTTTGTGAAAAATGCAGGGCCCCGCCATACAGAGGGGGAGAGGAATGATAGCTGATGGAGGCTGCACTTTGCAAAGATTTTCCTGGGAGTAGGAAGGGCCAGCAAACTGCATACCCAGGTGGAGCCAGGCTGCAAAATGCCTGGGTACCACAAATAGACACTTTTAGACAGTTCAGACTCAGTCCCAGAGCTGCTTTCCCACTTGTCCATCTTAGACACTATTACCATAGTATCTCAGCACCTCACAGTACTTAATATATTTATCTGAAACACACCCCAGTGAGGCAGAACGGTGTGATTATCATCTGTCAATAAGTATGGAGACACAGTGGCTTGATCAAAGTCACACCAGAAATGCTTGTGGCTGAGCAGCAAATTGAATCCTGCTCCTTCAGACCCCAGGCTAGCACCCTAACCATTGGGCCAGCCTTCCTCTCTTCTAAAACAAAATGATCCTCATCCACAAATGACCATATTGCGTGTGGTTCTTCCTCTTGTTTCCAAGCTGGTGGAGGCACTGCAGAAGATGACTGCCCTACAGAGGCCCAGCGGTGCTGCATTTCTGAGGACACCATCATGAAGTTGGCTGGTCTTGCTCTCCAGGTAGGCGTGTCCATTTGCATCTCACAGACTCGCTCCCTGTGCACCAGTGAGAATTCTCTCCCTTTTTATGGACAGGCAGCAGAGAAAGGTGCTGCCATTCTCAGCAATAAGTGTTTGTTTATTAAAGGTGGGAAAAGCACATGGAACCGCAAGGAATATTGAGTGGACCGTGAAGGAAAACGTAATCTACTTCCTCCAGGTGAGATTAATTATCATTATCTCTGAGCTAGCTTGTCCTAGGCCTTCCCCTAGGTTGCTTTGTAGATGTACCCTTAGGGTACAGCTGATGGGCACAGCTGATGGGCACAGCGCAGCAGCCATTTTAATTTAAATGAAGCGGCGATTATTTAAATCGCCGCTTCATTTGGGTATGTCTAGTAAACTAATCTACATGACTCTGGCGACAGAGCCATGTAGTCTAGACATACCCTTAGAGACTAACAAATATATATATAGTATCATGAGCTTTTGTGGGTAAAACCCACTTCATCAGATGAGTACGTTATAATTGTTAGGGATTTAGGGATTTGGCCACAGACTGTAACAAGCTACACTATTGTTCTGTGACTCACCCCTCATCTGTAAAATGGGGTTGCCCACAGAGTGAGGATGACTTCACTGATATGCAGGGGATACTCTGTCGCCAGAGGGATGTATATTAGACATACCAACATTGCAAATGAAGTGGGGATTTAAATTTCCTGTGCTTCATTTGAATAAAAATGGCCACCGTGTTTTGATGAGTCAGCAGTGAGTCGGCAAAAAGTAGACATACCCAGAGAGACCAGGATCGGGATAGACTACATCCCTCTGTCATCAGAGGGATGTAAATTAGACATACTGATGTTGCAAATGAAACAGGGATTTAAATCTCCTGCACTTCATTTGAATAAAAATGGCTGCCATGTTTTGCCGAGTCAGCAGCTTGTCAGGAAAAAGCAGCTGTCAAGACGAGGATTGGGCAACAAAGAAAGCCTTTGTCTGATGATCCCTTATGCCTCGTAAAACAAGGTTTACGAGATCTGGCGACAAAGGCTTTCTTTGTCACTCGATACCCGTCTTGACAGCCTCATTTTGCCAACAAACTGCTGACTTGGCAAAACACGGTGGCCATTTTTATTCAAATGAAGCACGGGAGATTTAAATCCCTGCATCATTTGCAATGTCAGTATGTCTAATTTACATCCGTCTGGTGACAGAGTATCCCCTGCATATCAGTGAAGTCATCCTCACTCTGTGGGCAACCCCATTTTACAGATGAGGGGTGAGTCACAGAATAAGACCCTCCGGAAAAGGGCACTTTTTCCGGAGGATCGGGGCCAGTGTAGACGCTCTTTTCCGGCTTTTAAAAAAGCCGGAATAAAGCGGCGGACATTTTTATTTAAATGCCGCGGGGGATATTTACATCCCCCGCGGATTTCCCTACGACGACTGGTGAAATTTACATGCCCCTTCCGGAAAAGGGGCCAGTGTAGACGAGCCCAACGTGTCTTAACTATAAGACTATCCTTCTTAGTTTCCCATTTAGGACCAAGTTAGGTGTGCCTTAGGCAAAATTCCTATTGAAATGGATGGGACCCTTTTTTTTTCTTAGGATGCTAGGGTGGGTTATTATGGAAATGTTGTCTTCCAGACCAGAGTTCACAACAACTCACCTTAACCAACTTCTGACTGCTTCTATTTGTAATGGAAATTTCTACTCTTAATGGAAATGCTGGCAGGCCATTAACTACAGCACAGCTGTGTATGATATGTTATTTGTTGCACATCACAGTAGCAAAGCGAGTGAGCTAGCCAGGCTTTTAGAATTTTGTGCACATAGCTGCGTGCGCAAAAGTGTGCAGAGTTAATTTACAATGACCACAGTCAGACACTGGAATGTGATTCTGGTAATTTTGTTTACCAAAATCATCCAAATCCCAATTTTTTCATTCCCAATGTTGGGCTTACTGTTATTGTAAGACTTCCAGACTCCTACCACATGTTTATAAGTTGGTAAAACTACTGTGATAATATTTTCCATGGTCCATGCTAATTAGATTAGCAAATACAGCTCGTTTAACATACTTCCAAAAAATTAGTTGTGAATAAATTCAGTGCTCATAGAAGGGAGGGAAAAAGAAGCATGGCATAAATGTCAAGAGACGCTAGACAAGCTTCCTCTATTCAGCGCTGCCAGGGCACATCAAGTTTGATTAGAAGTACTTGATACTGCTTCTGTCCTGACCTACAACCCTGCCAAACGCTGTCAATGCAACTCATACTTTTGCAACATTCTGTTGTTCCAATTCGGGGAACTCTACAGAAGAGTGGCAATCATGCCAGATTGCATTCTGGTTTTGTGAGGAGAATAAAATGAGGGTTAAGATGTGGACACCAAACCCCCTATTGATTGTGAAGTCAGGCAAGGATTTGAACTTGCCATCAAAAACGGAGTGCAATGATGCCTCGTAACAACAGAACAGCCTTGCCTCCTTATTTGATGTGTAAAAGGAATAGATTATAGTGGAACAAATAATGGAAACTTCTCTGGCAACATAAGTTTCAGGGCCTGTGCCTGACAGTTCTATGGATGATACCTAGTAATTACTTCAGCTACTCCCAGAAGAGTGCACAAATGCCCAGTTATATGATAATATCGATTTGCACACAAACAGTTTTGCAAACAAGACCCTGTTTTACAAACAGGACCATAGTGACAATTAAAAGGGGCCCCCTATTACAGAAAGGATGTAGATGCATTAGAGAGAGTCCAGCAGAGAGCAACAAAAATGATGAGCATATGACTTATGAGAAGAGGCTGAGGGATTTGGGCATATTTAGTCTACAGAAGATTGGGGGGGATTTGATAGCAGCCTTTAACTACCTGAAGGAAGGTTCCAAAGAGGATGGAGAGAGGCTGTTCTCAGTAGTGATGGATGGCAGAACAAGGAGCAATGGTCTCAAGTTGCAGTGGGCGGAGGTCTAGGTTGGATATTAGGAAAAACTATTTCCCTAGGAGGGTGGTGAAGCGCTGGGATGGGTTCCCTAGGGACGTGGTAGAATCTCCATCCCTAGAAGTTTTTAAGTCCCTGCTTGACAGATGCTTGGCTGGGATGATTTAATTGGGATTGGTCCTGCTTTGGGCAGGGGGTTTGACTCGATGACCTCCTAGGTCTCTTCCAACCCTATGATTCTATGAAAACCTGATCACTTAGCAATGAAAAAGGTTGTATCAGTTTAGTATGACAACATTTTGAATCAAAAGCATTCTTTAAATCAATTGGAAATAATTTCCACTCCTGTATTTTTTCCTCATATTTAGGATAGACCTGTGACAGCTTTTGATCTGGAGTCAGAATTTGAGCTGATGCATGAATTTGACTCTGGTTTCCCATCAGACTATCAGTGGCTAACAACAGCCAATATAAGGTAAGTACTGGGGATCAATGAATTGTTTTGATTTCATGGTTTTCCACAAATCTTATGGCTTCTTCATATATCTATTTACTAAGCCAAAGGCCAGTACATGGCGCTTGAACATTATGGCCAAAATTATGAAACTTGGGCACCAAAATTTTGACATCTACATATACATTTAGGCAGCTAACTAAGTGGCCTCTTTTTGTTTTTGTATGAGCATTCACAGCTCCTAGTGGAGTTAGACATTTACACGTTAATTTAAGGAGTAACTCCATTAGCTGGCTACAGTAGTAAGCTGTTATCCTCTATGTGAGCCAACTGCAGGGGGACATGACACATGCTTATCACAACGATCACATTATCACCAAATGTCAATGGACTGATCAGTTTGCAATAACCAGTATGTAACAAATAAATTGCCTAGGGAGGTTGTGGAATCTCCATCACTGGAGATATTTAAGAGCAGGTTGGATAGACATCTGTCAGGGATGATCTAGACCGTGCTTGGTCCTGCTGTGAGGGCAGGGGACTGGACTTGATTTCTCAAGGTCCCTTCTAGTTCTAATGTTCTATGATTCTGTGATTCTATGAAATGGACACGCTTTAAAGACATTTTTATGGACATAAAAAAATTACCTTTCTAAATGCGTAGATAAAGCATTGCCATAACTTGTAAATAACCTGGACTTTTCCAGTTGGGTCTTGACTTCCATAAAGAAAGCTAAACACTGATATTGAGATCTAAGCTCTGAGAATGAATGGTTTGACTGTTTTCAGTGAAACAGCTCCCGGTGCTGTGACCCCACTGATGTGGGCTGTGTTTGGGAGAGCCCTACAGTATGCAGCTCAGGTGAGATTTTAAAAAGAAATCTTGAACGCAGATAAGGGTGGGTTTTTTTGATGAATGGGGTATTTATTCAATTCATCATCATCTAAATTCCTATATAGAACCTTTCATCTGAGGGTATGGTACATAGGAGATAAGTACTGTTCGCTGTATTTTACGGATGCGAAATGTTCTGCTAATAGCTCTGGCAGGCTTTTCACTTTAAAGTTAACTAGATCCTCACCGGAGGAAGCAGAGCCACAGAACAGGGATAGGAAGAGGTGGGAGGGTGGACATTAAGACCCAGCGATGCCCCAGATTTTCAAGTGCCCTACGCAGCTGCATTTTCTGCCATTGGGTAGGGGTGGCTCTGATGCTAATAATGTTTCGCTTTTAAATCACTTCCAGCAATTCTGTGTGCATAGTGGAGGGCTGGATGGACTCAAGCCATACAGTTTTCGATGCCTGGATATGTACTGCGGCCATTTGTTCCTGAATATTATGGTATGACTCGAAGAATGGAAAGGCATCTGATCAACTTTCCTTTTCTTCCACTGATTGGGCTGCTCTTAAAATATCCCTGTAGCATCCCTCTCACAAATGCCATGTCTGCCAATAGGGAGATAAATTGTTCTTTGGGTACTTCATGAGATATGCTGCATATTGCTATGCAAGGACTATATATTACCACGTATAAAACAATATAATTACAGTTATTAAATTACTCTGCTATATACAGGTGAAAGGAGGCAAAACGTACTTCCTAAAGTGGTGAGGAGTCCTGTGGCACCTTATAGAGTACCTACCTCTGGAAATTTCCACTACTTGCATCTGACGAAGTGGGTCTTTGCCCACGAAAGCTTATGCTCCAACACTTCAGTTAGTCTATAAGGTGCCACAGGACTCCTCGCCGCTTTTGCAGATTCAGACTAACATGGCTACCCCTCTGATACTTGACACTTCCTAAAGTGTTACTAATTATTTATTTACCTCTTGGTGATCATAAAGCAAAAAGGCCTGGTGATAGAAGATGCAGGGATTAGCCCCAATTCCACTCATGGAGCAATAAACAGTTGCTGTTATCTGTTCTTTCCACAAAAGTATCTGAGCATGTCTGTTCTCTCTCTTCAGTCGATTGCTGTTTCATTTGAACAAGCCAACCTGGTGTATGGGAAGAACAAAGCTCTCTGCTTTTTGATAGAACAAGTAGGTGCTAATTAGGCTCTTGGACTTCTAAGAATTGAAACATTTGGTTCATTAGTTAATTCCCATTTTCTGTTCCGTTTCTTCCACCAGGAACTGCCTGAGTTGAGCTCTTATGACCTTGTTGTAACATACGGGGAATTACCAATGTGGAGAAAGATCTTAAATAGCTTCAAATCTGCAATGGTAAGGAGTGCAAGGTTCTTGGCGCCTGTGAGGAACAAATATCTCTCTTTCTCTGGGTTCTCATGGGATACGTCTAGACTACAGGCTTTTGTCAACAGAGGCTTTGTCGACAGATACTGTCGCCAAAGCCTCTGTCGACAAAGAGCGTCTAGACTACAGCCAATTCTGTCAACCAAGCAAGCCGCTTTGTCGACATGAGTGTGGACGCAAAGGACAGTGTAGATGCACGCAAAGGACAGTGTAGAAGAACTCTGTCAACAAAAGGCGTTATTCCTCATAGCATGAGGTTTACCGCCGTCGACAAAACTGCCAAGTTCTGTCGACGTTATGTTGACTGAACTCGGTGGTAGTGTAGTCGCAGGTATAGTTTTGTCAACAAAAGTCCACTTTTGTCGACAAAACCCTGTAGTCTAGACACACCCATGGTGTTCTGTCCCTTGCTGATTTAGGCACGTTGTGTCAGATGCAGGTAGTGAAGTACCATTTGAAGATTTTTAAGGCTTTTCCATTTAAGGTCTAATGTTTGTGAAGAGCCCAGTCAGGATTTTATTTGCACACAAGCACTCTGTTGTGTGGGAAGAGAAAAGAGTAAAATCCCCCTGTCATTTCTTGTAGGGCCTCATATCAATAGTCAATTGAATTCACGTATTAAAACCTTGTAACGTGTAGCGCTCCTCCTTACCACATGCCTTTAGAATGAGCCATATAACCAAGATCCGGACTATTTGTGGTCATTAAGCATCCAGTGGAGCTGTGGACAGGAGTCACAGACTCAGCTGTGCTCAGTTTCTGCTGAGAGAAATGGAAGGAGGAAAGACTGGTTATAGCTCTCTGATTCTGGCCCATCAGGAAGCTTGTACTAGCTGGGGACTGCTGGAATTCAGTGCAGCCAGACACATGTTGGGGACTCATTTTCAAATCTAGCCATTGAGCTAGTAATGTGAGAAACTGCTGCTTTTGAGATGAAAATAAATTCATACTCTCCCAATTTCAAAATGTTGCCACCAATATATTTTTAATGTATAGGCCTTTAATTTATTTTGAATAGGGTGCAAAAGCTGGGGGAAATGTTTTGTTTTCTCTTCTCCGTCAAGCAGCATCAATGCCTGATCTTTTGAGTTGCCAAACTATTGTACCTATCAGCTTGTTTCTTCTCTTCCTTAATAGGGTTTACACATCCCTAAGCAATCCATTACATCAGTTAAAAAAATCAGTCAATTTACTAAAGGCCTTATCCTGGATGACAATGCTTATTCAGTCAGGCTATGTCTACACTGGCATGATTTTCCGGAAATGGCAGGACTTTTTGCGGAAAAGCGTCCGTGGCCAATCTAAACGCGCTTTTCCGCAAAAAAGCTCTGATTGCCATTTTCGCGATTGGGGCTTTTTTGTGGAAAACAAATCTCTGCTGTCTACAGTGGCCCTTTTGCGCAAAAGTTTTTCGGAAAAAGACTTTTGCCCGAACGGGGGCAGCATAGTATTTCCGCAAAAGCACTGACAATCTTAGATGAGATCATCAGTGCTTTTGCGGAAATTCAAGCGGCCAGTGTAGACAGCTGGCAAGTTTTTCCGGAAAAGCGGCTGATTTTGCGGAAAAACTTGCCAGTCTAGACATAGCCTCAGCTTTCTTTGAAAGGATTAAAAAAACTGAGACCACCCCCCAAATCAAAACAGCTGGCCAGTGATGGTTAAGTGGTTGACAGTACCATTTCTAAATACTACATATATATGTACTACAGATAACTACTTAAAGTTTGTATAGAGTTGTTAAAGCACCAAGATTATAACTGGGCTGAATACCAGAAAAAATAATTAATTAAACAAATCATTTTGGGGGGGGCGGGGAATTAAAATAAAATGAATAATTTATTCAGGAAATAATAATCAAGAAGCTAAACCCAAGCCATCTAGGAGTAAAATTATTGTTAATTTTTGCTACAGGTTGAACTTCTCTAGTCCAGCATCCTCGGGACCTGACTAGTGCCAAACTAGAGAATTTGCCGAACCTCAGGAAGTCAGTATTGTCTGGCAGCATTACCAACACTCCCACGCCTTCCTGGGCTCTTTGAAGACAATTAGGGGTAGATTAGAGCTAAATAAAAGCATAGAACACTGAGAGTCAGGACTGGTGGCTGTAGACAAACTTTATAGGACCACAGGAAACTTGGCCACAGCAACGATAAGTGGACATCCGGCTAACTAGAATCATGCTGGACCATGGATGTTGCCAGACCAGACAGTGCAGAGCTACAGAGCTATATTAACATTAGCACTTATAATTTTTTTCACATATGTTTGCTCACTTCTAAAAACTGCTTTGAATTTTTGTGGCCTTTCTTAGTTCTTGCTGAGCAATATTTTTAGACAACGGCATTGGTTCAAGCAACTCCAGACCTTCCGCATTCCCTCTGGCAGCAATGCCACGGAAGCTTATCTTCATATTGATCGACTTCTGCCAGAATATTCTGATGTAAGTAGTTTGTTGCACTGGTTTATCATTTTTTAGATAAATTCATTGAATCGACAATTCAAATTTTCTCAAATCAACAAGAAACTCAAATTCAGTTGTCTTGGTTTGCAGTTTGGCCCATTGCACTTAGTGGTTATTTCCCACAAACTTTTCATTACGTTCTGTATTGATTTTAGTTCTAGTTTTGAGCTTTGGATAAACTGACAAGTGCAAATGCAGTAGGTAACTATAAATGAAAAGTAACCTTTCATTGACTGAAAGATGACATGATGTCATGCACATAAGCAAAACAGAAGTCTTGTTGTATCTTAGAAACGAACAGATTTATTAGGTCATGAGCTGGAAAGTGATTATGTACCAGATTGCTGACTTCTGTGTCTGTTATTGTCATTAATGTGTTACTTAAGTTGGTACCCAAAGATAAAATAAAAGCTGTAGTACCAAGAAAAAACCCAGAGAGAAAGGAGGAGTGAAAGAAAAGAGACAGAAACAGAAAGAAAAAAAAGGCTTATTAGAGAGATTTAAAAAATTTGATTCTTTTATGGTCCTTAATAGAACAGCTGTATACATTATCAGAAGTATACCTAATTAGTCTTATTTTACTGGATATTCCCAGCCATTCCCTATTGGCTGAATTATTTGATGTTTGTTCCTCTGTTTCCCAAGTTTTAAAATGGGAATAGTGATACTTATCCACCTTTGTAAAAAAGCCATTTTAAGATCCTCAGATTAAGATTTTTTTTATACAAGACCCTCCATTCAACAAGATGCTTAATTATAAGCCTTACTTTTAAGCACGTGAGCCATTTTATTAGAATCAACAGAGTTGCTTAAGGTTAGGCACGTGTATTTTACTGTATATTCCCAGCCATTCTCTATTGGCTGAATTTTTTTGAGTTAAAAATTATCTAGAAAAGTTAGGTGTCTTCAAGTCACCAGGGCTTGATGAAATGCATCCTAGAATTCTCAAGGAGCTGATAGAGGAGGTATCTGAGCCTTTACCTATCAACTTTGAAAAGTCATGGAAGTCAGGAGAGATTCCAGAAGACTGGAAAAGGGCAAATATAGTACCCATCTATAAAAAGGAAATTAAGAACAACCCAGGAAACTACAGACCAGTCAGCATAACTTCTGTGCCAGGGAAGATAATGGAGCAAGTAATTAAGAAATTCATCTGTAAACGTCAGGAAGATAATGAGTTGACAGGTAACCGTCATCATGGATTTGTAAAGAACAAATCATGTCAAACCAATCTGATACTTTTCTTTGATAATATAATAAGGGAGAAGTGGTGGATGTGGCATACCTAGACTTTAGTAAAGCATTTGATATGGTCTCGCATGATGATACCAAACTGGGAGGGATTCCAAGCGCTTTGGAGAATAGGGTCATAATTAAAAATGATCTGGACAAACTGGAGAAATGGCCTGAGGTAAATGGACAAATGCAAAGTACTTCACTTAAGAAAGAACAGTCAGTTTCACACTTTCAGAATGGGAAGAAACTATCTAGAAAGGAGTACTGCAAGAAAGGGATCAAAGGTTCATAGTGGACCACAAGCTAATTATGAGTCAACAGTGTGACACTGTTGCAAAAAAGCAAACATGATTCTGGGATGCATTCACAGGAGTGTTGTGAGCAAGACATGAAAAGTCACTCTTCTGCTCTTCTCTGCACTGATTGGGTCTCAGTTGGAGTATTGTGTCCCGTTTTGGGCACCACATTTCAAAAAAGATTTGGAGAAATTGGAGAAGGTCCAGAGAAGAGCAACAAAAATAATTAAAGATCTAGAAAACTTGACCTATGAGGGCATACTGAAAGAATTGGGCTTGCTTGGTTTAAAAAAGAGAAGACTGAGAGGGGACATGATAGCAGTTTTCAAGTATCTAAAAGGTGTTACAAGGAGGAGAGAGAAAAATTGTTTGCCTTGGATGACTGGACCCAAAGCAACGGGCTTAAATTGCAGCAAGGGAGATTTAGGTTGGATATTAGGAAAAACTTCCTAACTGTCTGGGTGGTTAAACACTGGAATAAATTACCTAAGGAGGTTGTAGAATCTCCATCACTGGAAATATTTAAGAGCAGGTTGGATAGACATCTATCAGGGATGATCTAGACAGTGCTTGGTCCTGCTGTGAGGGCAGGGGACTGGACTTGAGGATCACTCAGGGTCCCTTCCTTTTCTAGTGTTCTATGATTCTAAGTATTGTTCTTTATTGCAATGTTTCATATTATTTCAAATGTTTGTGGGAAATAAATTGTCAGGCTGAAAGCTGCTGTGAATCCAGATTTGTCCGTTAGGGTACGTCTACACTGCATGGCTATTTGATATCCCAAAATAGCTATCCCGCATCTGCACAAGCCACCCATTATTTCAAAATATTTTTCAAAATAATGGACGCATTATTTCGGTATCCTGGTAAACTTCATTCCACGAGGGCTAAGGGATGTCTCAAAATAGCAGGTTATTTTGAAATTTGGCGCTGTGTAGATGAACCAATTTTCAAAATAAGCTATTTTGAAATAGATTCGAAATAAGATACACAATTTGTGTAGCGCAATTTGCGTATCTTATTTCGAGTTTAGGGTACTGTGTAGACGAACCCCTAGGGTGTGTCTAGACTACATGGCTCTGTTGATGGAGCCATGTAAAGTAGTTTACCCGACATAGTCAATGAAGTGGGGATTTAAATAATCCCTGCTTCATTAAAATAAAAATGGCCACCGCGCTGTGCTGACAATCAGCTGATTTGGCACAATGTGGCAGTCTAGACGCAGATTGGTTGATAAGAGAAGCCTTTGTCGGCACAGCACGGTGGCCATTTTTATTTTAATGAAGCAGGGATTATTTAAATCCCCACTTCATTGACTATGTTGGGTAAACTACTTTACATGGCTCCATCAATGGAGCCATGTAGTCTAGATACACCCTTAGTGAATAGGCTGAACACTCAACAATAATTATAGCTAATGTCACGCATCCCTTGTTTTCTGTTTATTTGGAGGAATACTAAAAAAGAACATAGTAGATGCTTCTGCTCTTTGAACCCTGGGAAACTTACCATGCTACATGATCTGAAGTACATTGGCACAATGGGCTAGATTTCACTACAATTCATGCTGGCGCAAAGCCATAGTTGCCCTTTTGAAGTAAGGGCGGAATACCAGCCATCTAAAATGGAAATCTCATGCGAGTGGCTCCCTCAGTAAATGCTAATGATCTTGGCTTGGTTAGAAACACCATGGTGGAGAAGGCTCCTATGGAATTCCTACTTCCTAATCTGAAACGAGCAAGCACAGCGGCCCTTTAAAATTCAAAGAAAACAGAGATTCATTGAACTCTTTCTGATCTCAATTATGTTTGAATTTTGGACTGAGGTCTGGAACAAGTCACCTAGCACTAATAATCAATTTCAGGTCGGTGGACTAGACTGCTGCTGCCTCGGTTCTCATTGGCAATTTCTTTCTTAGGCACTTTTAACTTCACTGATGTGCTCTGCAGCATTTGCGATGTGGCCCACTTATTTGCTTAGCACCTTGTCTCAAGGAGAAAACCGTAAGAGACTACTTTATATACTGTCTTTTCAAAGGGTATTACCATATAGACCCGAACACATATACACGCAAGACATTAGATGTATCAGATTCACAGGCTTTGTTTCATGATTTGCCATTGGCACCTAGGAAACTGTTCAAGGCAGGAAGGGTTGGATACACAAGGCCAGATTAGGACTAGGAAGAAAATATTGATTTTACAGAATACAATTGCCTGCTATGCACAAGGTATTGGAAATGGTCTGGAAGTAGGCTCTCCATATTCCTGTTTTGGCACACTAACTAGTTGCTTGTCGCAGACACTGCAAAGGCATTTCCAGAAGAATTAGGGTTACCGCTGCCCTGAAGAGCAATGCAGACACTGAACCAGCTCAACTCTGGAAGGGCTCAGTTCTAGGGCACAGCACTGTACCCCCCCAAAGGAATCAAACCCCCAAATAAAAGTTTTACACAGCGAAAGCTCACCAGGTAAGCTCCCTTTATCAATGAAAAAGAGATATGCACAGTGGTTGCTGCCTCCAGGAACCACTTATTTACACTGGGTCTGACTGTAAACAACAGTGTTTTTATTAAGTTCAACCAGTACGATTTAAGTGGTTGTAAGTGAAAACAGACAGATCAAAGTAAGTTACTAAATAAAAATGAATCGAAAATGCATAGCTAGTTCTACTTCACTAAGAAACTTGTCACGTGCAAATTCTTATCCTAAACTGCTGTTCTAACTTCATGCATAAGTTTCAAGGCAGAGATGATCTTTTACTATGACTTGGGTCTTCAGCCCTCCCTAAAGTTTTTGGTATCCTCTTAGGGTGTGTCGAGCAGTTTCCAAAAGGGCTGATAGTATCCCATTGATTAAATAGACTCTCCCCCAGAGTGGAAATCATTTGTTTTACATCCCCCACCTTCCATTGAAAAATACCAGGTTCAAAATGAATCCCCATATCAGGTAGTATGTTTTCCTAGAACCAACCACCTTCTGGACTTAAAGGACAAATAAGGCTGTTTAAAGTTTGTTGAGTTGATCAAGAAGTTATTAGGCTTCCAGGGCTACAGCAGTTTTGGGTTTAAATCAGGGTCTGTCACAGAGCTAACTGTATCTAAGTCTCCTTTCTGGTCTTTTCTGGTACATCCCTCAGGCTAGGTCTGCACTATAGTGTTTTTCCTGCAAAAAAAACCTGTTTTTCCGCAAATACTCGCAGAGCGTCCACACTTCAAACGCGTTTTTGCACAAGTAAAATGAAAGAACAGAGGGGGTTTTCCAGTGTAGGTATTCCTCTTTCTACGAGGAATAACTCCTTTTTGCACAAGAACTCTTGTGCAAAAAGGTGTATATGGACAGGGAACAGGGATTTTTTGGGCAAAAAGAGGCAATCGAAAAAAGCCCAGGTGCCCTGGTGCCATTCTGTAAATAGCAATCAGAGTTTTCTTTTGAGAGAGCCTCCATGCAGCCTGGATGCTCTCTTTTGCAAAAACTTATCGCTTTTTCGATACATTTTTGCAGTGTGGATGCTCTCTTCCGTAAAAAGCTTCTTGCACAAGAAGCCTGTAGTGTAGACATAGCCTCAGATGTCATAGCATGCGTTCGCCACTCCGGGGGCAAAATTCTTCAATTCTCCCACTCCTAGACCGGGCTGTGCATCAACTCTTCTTTCCCGTCCAATCTGAATTCAGACTCTTGTCGCCTGTAGTTTGTAATCAGTGAAGACAACAGTAACAAAACAGCTGTCTTAAAACAAATTGGATCAATGTACCAGTAGGTTGAAAGCATTAAGAGGAGAAAAAAAAGGTATTTTAAAATCACAGTCTACAGATATATCTATTGTAGCAAAAGACTTAGCACTCCTTGATGATAACGTAGGGTGACTTCTTTAGACATCTCTGCAGGTCCTGTATGAGTGGTCTTTTCTTAACTGTGATAGTCCTTTTAATCACCTGTTTCCTAATCCTTGTGCCTGCTTGTCGAATCTTTCTGTAGGTTGGCTGGATCCATTAGGGAAACATTTCAAAGCTAACATTTCAGGCTTATATCTTAATCCTTACACATTTACTGAGGAGTGGTTTATGTTAAGCTATTCTTTCCCTTCCTGCTTGCTTTTCCTAACAACCCCCTCCATTAAACTTAACCAACATGTTCATACCCTAAACATCCCATTAACCAGATCAACATACTGTATTCATAAATTCTGACAGAGTCACTCGAGTTCTGTCTCTGGGCCTGCCAGAGCGAGAAGCACACACTGTGACAGTTGTGAGTTAAAGAGCTAAGTTGCTTTCTCTAGGGCTGTAAAAGTCTTACTCCTCTGTGGATCAGGCGCAAGAACCTGTTACACATCCTCCTCAGAGGATCACCCACAGGACAAAAGGTGAGGTCCTATTGGAAATCCGGCCCAGAATTGCTAATCATGTAAACAGTCACTACTTACCAGATTTAGCTACACACCTTTACGACATTAGTGAATATGAATAAAGCCCTTTGAAATCTCCCCTTGACTGAATGCAGCATGGAAGATGGAACATCACCAGTTATTGTGGCCTGTGTACAAGCAGCAAAATCACGTTTGCTGACAGCAAATTCCTGTAGCACTATCCACAAATACTCTCTGAATTTCTTCCTCTTGTGTCAGATTGGACCCCTGAGGCCATGGCTGCTATGGCTGTTCTCTGCCACACCTGCTCAGATTCATCTGTGGAGCTGCCCAGGGCAGTTGAGGTAAGCCACACTGACATTCCAGTTATTTTCCCAGGTACCAGTGAGCTCATGAAGAGCTCACGAAAAAGAATCTTTCTTTGGCATTCATTGTCGTGTTGAGCAAATGATTTCACTCAGCGACCCTTGGTGACGGCAGTAGGTTTCATTTTCCAGGTCATCAGCAGAAAGTGCAGGGCAGGGAATCTACTGTCCAGTCAGATCAGTGAGATTTATCATTAACAGGTTTCTGGCTTAGGACCAGTTCCTCTGCTTGTGTAAATTGTTGTAACCTGGGTGAAGTCAACAGAACGATGACAGTTTACTGCAGGGTCAGCACAGGCTGCCTAGGGGAGTGAATTGAATTTGGGCTGGGAGCCAGCAAATCCCAATGTTGTGATCATTGTATCAGACATTTCCCTTGTCTTTGGCATCTCCCAGATGAGGTAATGCTCCATGGGAATCCATTGGAAGAGCACTGCATTCAGAAGGTGCCAGTTTATCTGACCTGTGGGAATGGATTACATTGGCATTCTAATCTCTTTGAGATTCAAGTCAAGGGTCCTGACTTTTCCTTTCACATTTCTGGAACTAACAGAGAGATTCCCATTTTCTGCCAAGATCAGCTGATTGCTTGAGCTTATAGCTCCTAAATTTGAATACTTGGGGCTGATTAGAGGAATTTGCTTCCCTTGTTTGATGAACAAAGCTCATGAGTGTTGTTCTTCAGGGCATTCATGGTTCAAAGGCCATCTGCTTAGCCATGCCTTTGGCTGCAGCTGAAGGCATATATGTCATGTTTATTTTAATTTGGGATAGAGTGTATTTTAAATTGGCACTTAGGATAATTCCCTTTAAGAAGTTGTTTGCGTGGGTCTATGTCTGTAAACCCTCAAAGCCAGAGTATCCTTTCAATGTTCCCTCTAATTTTTCCCTATACATGTGCAAAATAAATTTTGTTATGTGCACCAAGGCATGTGTGGATGTGCACCACCAGAAACACTTGCTGATGGCTACTGCCAGCTTGGGCACTCTGAATCTCCTGGGCAGTCACCCAAGTGCTCAGCTTCAAGGGAACACTGTTCTCTACTAGCCAAGAGTTTTGTAAGCTGACCATATAAAAAAAGTGACTATCCACCTGCTTGTTGTTTGTTTTTGTTTTTCCAGGCTATAATTCAGGCTGTTAGAGACCAAGGAGAAAGTGCAGAATTTATAACAATGGATCCACAGGTCAAGTAGCACAAAATATGCATGGAGTCACGTTGCAATGTGTAGATGTGTGCTCACCTCCTATGTGGCTGAGAAGAACAAAAGCCTGTAGATTAGTAGAATGAATCGTTCATAACAAATAGTTTGTTTTTCTGCTTGTCCAGTGTCGGCTAACAGATCCTCTGTCCTCAGTATGTGATTTCCATTGTATATGGGATGAATATTTTTGAATTATTTTTTATTCTATGGCTTGATCATCACCAATGCCCTGCAAATATATGTTATTCAAGCGGTGTTGGTAAGTTGTGATTGACTAGATAAGCCACCTGTTATTATGCCTGCCCCCAGATTCGATACGCAAGCAAGCTATTCCAGCCCAAAGAGTCACGTGTGCCTTTTAAAATAGCTTTCCTTGATGGGCAGGTGGCTTTGAAAACTGCTGTCCAGAAACATTAGTGTTATCAAAATTTGGCTGTTCAAATAGTCTGATAGAGCAGATGCAAAAGGACCCCAAACAGAGTCAAAGTGAATATTTTTAAAATGCAGAGGTACATCTGGCTGGACTTTAGTTATTTTACCGGAGAGCAGGTAAATTATCAGTTTGAAGTCCATGATGATACACCAGATTAAATGTGGAGTCTGTGGCCTAATTATCCTTATTGCTTTTTTTAAATTTGTATTACAGTAGCACATATGGGCTCCATCCGGAACAAAAGAGATGGGCCCTGACACAAAGAGCGTGCCATCTAGCAATGAAATTGGTGTGGCAGCCAAAGAATAAAAGGCAGAGCCTCAAATCAGTTTTTTGTATAGTGCATGCAGTTTCTGGTCATATTAGAAGAGGGGTGGGCAATCAACAGCTCGTGGGTGGGACACAGATCACCAGGGTTAACCCCTGGTGGGCTGCTGGACACTTTATTTATCTGCGTGTCCACAGGTACAGCCACTGGCAGCTCCTCTTGGCCGTGGATCGCTGTTCCTGGTCAATGGGAGCTGTGGGAAATTGTGCGGACTGGGGCACTGCTTCCCGCAGCTCCCATTGGCCAGGAACCTGTGGATATGCACCTGGCAGCCTGCCAGGGGGTAAGCTTGGTTCACCGTGTCTGGCCCACAGACCGCTTACCCTGTATTAGAACATAAGAACAACCACACTAGGTCAGACCAATAGCAGCCCAGTATCCTGTTTTCTGACAATGGCCAGGGCCAGCTGTTTCAGAAGGAATGAAAAGAACAGGGCAATTTTAACTGATCCATCATCCCCTGTCATCCAGTCCCAGCTTCTGTCAGTCAGAGGTTTCGGGATATCCAGAGCACGGGGGCTGTTGATGGTCCTGTTCTCCATAAACGTATCTAATTGTTTTTTGAACCCAGTTATACTTGTGGACTTCACAGTATCCTGCGGCAATGAGTTCCTCAGGCTGGCTGTGCATTGTTGACCACACATGCTTCCTTTTGTTTGGTATAAAGCTGCCACCTATTAGAGAACAAACATATTTGTAAGTTGGCAGTTTGGGGAGGTTAACATAGACAATTCCTCTCTCCAGGCAGCAGTGTCATGGCTGCTTTCATCTGACAGTGGAGAGGCTGGGAAGACATTCCAGAGCTTTCTGGAAAAACACGGTTTCCACAGCTTTGGAGAAGTAAGTGCCATATTTGCATTGCATGCATGAGAAGTGCACATGCTTGCCCTTTACTCAGAGTGAAGTGCAGTGCATATTGGGAGAAAGTTGCAGGCTAGGGAACTTGCTCGAGGAACAGACAATGGTGACATATGAGCACTATGTAACTTTTAACCGTTATTGTCATGGCAAGATTAACACAACTGAAGGGAAACAATATCTAGTTTCTTAATATTTCTAACCAATTAATCTGAGATGAAGGGCTTGTTTTCACTACCGAGCCTCTAGTACAGATTAGGGATGTTAAAAAGTGGGTTATTGTGTACAGTGTAACTGCTAAAACTCAGCGGTTACATGGTTACACACACCCTCAATGGCAGCCGGCTCTCTAGGAGCCAGTGCACACTGGAAGCCGGCTTTTAAGCTAGCTCCTGGCATGTATCAGCTCCCATCTGCTGCCCCACACTCAGGGAGCCGGTGCGCACTGGTGGCCACCCCATGCTACTGCCTCTGTATCAGATATCTGATACAGAGGCAGCAGTGTAGGGCAGCAGCCGGCTCCCCGGGAGCTGGCTCCTGGTTTCAGCCCCCCGCTGTCTCCCCAGGAGTGAGGCAGGAGCCTGTGTATAACCGTGAATATTAACGGATAATCCAGGCTTATCTGTTAACTGCTTACATGGCTATATGTTCACATCCCTAGTACAATCACAGTGTAAATTGACAGAGGGAGTTTTTCTGCTGACAATACTATGCCCATATGACATTAGTTTGCTGACAAGCACTCTTCTGTCAGGAAAGTTGCAACTACACTGGGCAATCTGCCATCACAGTTAAGCTGACAAAATTTGGTCGTACAGACCAAGCCTAAGAATGCTGATACCGCGGAAGAGGATGTGCTACTGCTGATTCAGTAAAGCTGCCTCGAAAAGAACAAGTATGTCTTTGACTCTGGTTGAAAGCCACTTTCAGGAAATCTTCCTGCAAATCATGAGGATGCTTAACGCTGGTTCTACCAGTGTGAAAGACTTGAAATCTTTCATCTGCTTGTACAGGCGGACTTGCGGGCTAAACCTTGGGCTGATGACCCTGCCCAATTGATTCCACTTCTTCAAAAAGCACTAGAGCGTGGCCAAGTTTCCAAGAAGAAAGCCCAAACATCAGTGGAAGAAGCCATTGCTGCGATAAAAGCCCCAGTCACTGGGCTCAGAAAGTAAGTCAGCTCAGTAATAGTTTGAGGCTATGTCTACACTTGCAGCTTCTTGCGCAAGAACAGCTGTTGTGCAAAAACTTGCCTGCTGTCTACACTACACACACGTTCTTGTGCAAGTAAATTTACAGTATAGCGTTGTAAAACAGGGCTTCGTCCGGAAGAGTTATTCCTCTCTCCATGAGGAATAAACCCTCTTGCACAAGAGCTCTTCCACAAGAGGGCAGTGTAGACAGGCAACATGAATTTCTTGGCCAAGAAGCCCTTATGGTTAAAATGGCCATCACAGCTTTCTTGTGCAAGAGAGCGTCCACACTGTCAAAGATGCTCTTGTACAAAAGCACATGGCGGTGTGGATGCGCTCTTGTGGAAGATTTTTTGCACAAGATCTTTTCTGCAAAAGAGTTCTTGTGCAAGAAGCTGCCAGTGTAGACGTAGACTGATTATGTGATACGGGATTGAGCAGTGCCCAGTGCTATCCCGAAGGCCTGACGCCATCTCTTACTGAGCATTTCCAGGAGGTGTTGGTAAGGGGATATGGCTGGACTGACCTCCTGGGATGATGCAAAGGTTTTATTTTGTTTTAAGTAAATCTGGTAACCTGGTTACCTTGTTTTTCAGGTTTATACTCCCTTTTCTGGTAAGAAAGGCAAGGGAAGGGATTTCCAAACGTGAACATTCAAAGGACTTAGCTATGAAGGTTTATGCCTTATTCAAGACAGCATACTGGGCTCTGGCTAAGCACATGGTTGAAGAGGTAAAATCTTATTTTATTCCTTCATGTCAGGAATGTTAAAGGGAGACTGTCAGGCTAAAGTGTGTGGCTATCCAATGTGCTTTGAGCTTATATCCAAGTGAATAGGCATTTTTCCAATGAATACAATGGGAGCCAAGCTAGGTCTACACTGGGCTCTTTGAAACACATCCACTTAAATTTAAATCTCGGTGTAAACCATTTGACTGACTGGTCTCCATGTATTCTTCATTGCTCTCCTACCTTTTGCATTTAGTTTGAGCTGTGGCACTAGAGAGACTGTTCTTATGATAATAAGAACAAAGATAATGCTGCTGTGTTTGACTTTCCACTGCTGTGCTTGAGACTGTTGGATGAATAAACCAAACCTTTTTAAATGAAACATGTTCACACACAATAGATTTTGTTAAATACGAAGAAATACATTTTAGTTCTAATCTAGTTGACAGCGCTGGTGTTGACTGTGCTGCATTGAACACCTGAAGTCACTATGGGCGTGTCTGGACTACACCTCTCTGTCGACAGAGAGATGTAGATTAGGCACATCGAAATTGCTAATGAAGCCGAGATTTAAATATCCTGTGCTTCATTAGCATAAATATGGCCGCCACTTTTTTTCAAAATGGAGGTTTTTTTTAAAAAAAACTCCATTTTGAAAAAAAGTGGCGGCCCTATTTTTTCTAATGAAGCACAGGATATTTAAATCTCGGCTTCATTAGCAATTTCGATGTGCCTAATCTACATCTCTCTGTCGACAGAGAGATGTAGATTAGGCACATCGAAATTGCTAATGAAGCCGAGATTTAAATATCCTGTGCTTCATTAGCATAAATATGGCCGCCACTTTTTTTCAAAATGGAGGTTTTTTTTAAAAAAAGGCAGTCTAGACGTAGCCTATATGTCCAACAACTATTGTCATTCCCAACAGTGTTTCTTGCCAGATGAGGACTTGTTGTTCTTCCTAACACATTTAGAGATTGGAGAAGTCTTACGGTGTAGATCAGCAGACATCGTCCTCAGGTGAAGTTTGGTGTTTTGTGTTTCTCAGATATTCTAAGCCTCTGTTTACTTCCAGGCTAGTGCCTGAAACATACTTTCATTATATTGACAATACTTTGACAGAATACATATGAGCCCTCATCCTTCTGATCCTCATCCTTTGTCTGGAAACAGGTGACAGGAGAGGGATCATGTGAGAATTACCTGTTGTGATCCCTTCATATTGGGCAACTGGTATTGGCCACCTTTGGCAGACAGGATACTGGGCTAGATGGACCTTTGGTCTGACTCAGTATGGCCATTCTTATGTTCTTCTTCTCCTCTCTTTTCTGCAGGGCGAGCAGGAGGAGGCAAATATTAGACCATCAGATGGCCTTACAGTTCCCAGAGGTGAATGTAGCCAGACCGGTTCCTTTACAACTTGAGGTGGGCGCAACACTGACAGGGGAGGCCATGCTCAGTGGTAAGGATGAGGGGACGTCTACAGGCCAAAGAGTCTGAGGTAGCAGTTTGTATAGATTCATTGATTTCAGGGCCAAAAGAGATGATTAGATTATTTGTAGTTTGATCTCTTGTATAATGTAGCCCATGGAATATTATCCCGGTGTTATGCCCAATCGCTTGTTTGGCTAACACTTGTCTTCCAGAAGGCATCAGAAGGTTTAACAGGTAAACGATATAAAGAACCGCGCAGAATATACGTGACGTTGTACCGGGAAATGGTGTGAACAGCCAGGAAGCAACACAAAGATATTCACTGTAGGATTTTCAAAAGCCTTCAGCTTTGGCTTAACTTTGTTCACAACCAGGCCCGCTGACAGGAGGGAGAGGGAGAAATTGCCCCAAGGTCCAACGATTCGAAAAGGCCCAGAATTCCTGACTGCCACTGGACTCCAGGCCCTTTAGAATCACCACTGGAGAGACGGGTGGTATGCTCCGGAGCCCTGCGCCGCACTGAGGGCTGGCGGGGATGCCAGGCAGTCCTGGGGGTTGGCTGCCCAGTCCCACCCCTTCCAGGAGCATGGAACTGGCCCTCCCTCTTGCTCAGGGGCCCGGTGATCCTGTCAGCTCCCCTGCTCACATCCCTGGGGATCAACGGGAATGTTCCCAATCAGTTAAGTGGGAACAGAGTCCAGCCACTGCTGTGTACATTTGAAATGTCATCATACATGTCCTTTATTACACAGATAATTTGGAAGTCAAACATCTCTCTGCTGCAATATATCAGTAAGTTAGCAGCTAAGAGACACACACAGAGCTGGGTGTGGCATCGTGATACATGAGCAGGTGCTTGAGATGCTTGGTGCAGCTAGTCACATTTCGCTACATTGCTGGAATAATTTAATGTTGGTGTTTTACTACGAGGCCAAGGCTGCATGTCTTTTTGGTGTTTTTTATGTCGCATGCATTAGGGTTGCCAAATTCCCTTTCATTACACTTGTCTTGGAATTGTCAGATTCAGGCTTTAACTTGTATTCTCATAGCTACTTTTCCAGCTTTAAAAAAGTTGGATACTTCCAAGCCCGAATATGATCACCACTTGGATTTCATACTTTCATTGTGGTAGCATGCAAGAGCCCCAGCATGGAGCAAGACCCCAAATTCTCACGTATCGGCTAGGTGGAGATCATCTGTAGTTAAAATCACCAACAACTCCGCACTGCATTTTTGTACATACCTTTTGGACTTCATGCACTCATTCCTTATGTAAATCCCATTCATTATGCTAAGTGCAGACAAAATAAGCCAGTTATGTAATGATTTAAAATGTTCTATTTTCTGTTTTAATATCCATTTAATGGTTTTTTTGCTACTTTGGGCCCCAGGCGTAATAATTAGTCATGGAGTGGCTAAAGGAACAGCCCGGGTGTTGAAGACTATTCAAGAAGTTAGCAGTATTAAGCAAGGAGATATATTAATTGTGACAACCATAGGTGTTGGCTGGACTTCATGCTTTCCCTTACTTGGCGGCTTAGTCACAGAAATTGGAGGAGTGCTGTCACGTGGTACGTACATGGGTAAATAATTCATAACCACTGCTTTGACCAATGAATTTCTCCTCTTTATTTTTTGTGATTTTTTTGAGAACAAGTCACAGTGGTCTCAAAATAGATGTCATTCACAATGATTTTTTGGATTCTTTCAGAAACTCATTTCTGTTCTGCAGATGATGCTTGAGCTGGTAAATGCAAATTAAAAAAATTTTGTGGTGTCAGTCATGTGGCATTTTTTCTGTTCTCTAATCAGACAACCCTGCAAATAAACACAAGGTTAATTGCACAATTTACAACCAAAACTTGCTTTCTGGGATTATTTGACTGTTCCTCCATAGAATGTGTTTTCTGTGAATGTTTATGTTAGTGAAACCAGTGTGCTTGAATGTTTCAAAAAGCAATTAAATTCACAGATAGTTTTTCCACAATGGGCTCCCTTAACATGCGGACAGTTCTGAAAGACTCAATAGCTTCTAGTGGAATTACCCATTTTACAGATTGACAATATTGCCATAATCAATGGCATCATTCACAATGTTGCAGCGTTGACTGTGCCCTGTATTTGCTCAAGTATAGTCCAACAGTTGAATCTGAAAGTGGACCTTGTAGTCTGCATCATTTACTTCCTCTCCATCCTTTATATGTGAAGATTGTCTGCATTTTGCCCTGGCATTTGTATTCCTAGGTGTTGCTCTTTATGTGCTGACTTTCAATTGTGTTGAGTTTCCTGAAATCCCCCCTGTGTAGCATGCATGGATAGGAGTTTTTCTACTACTGTAGAAATACCCACACCCTGAATGAATTTAGCTGCCACATTGACAGAAGAATTTGTCTGTTGACACAGCTGCATCTACACTTACAAAACTGGGGGTTTTGTTGGCATAGCAGTGTCACCAGATGTGGGGGACGGGGGAAAGGGTTTCGCCCCTCTGACCAACATAGCTATTCTGGTATACATTTTAAATATAAACCAGGCCTAACATGGCAACATCCCAACTACTTATAATGTCTGTGGATGGAATCAAAAGTTTAGCAGAGCTTTGGTTAGACCCTATTTAATGTGCACAGCTTCATTAGTCAGGCATCTGAACGCATATATTACTGGGTTTCCCTCAGTGTTGCTTTTGGCTTTGCCTTTAAAAATAATAATAAAAAAATCAATCAGAAAACTCTTTAATTCAATGTTATGATTAAGACTTTAATTGCTCCATGTATGGAAATTCAAGATCATGATTTTTCAGTAACAACTTAGCCACATTGTACATAAAGGAGCCTCAGTCCAAGCATCTAATTTTGCACCTGCAATTTTGTGTCGACAGTGAATTGTGGGTGCAGATAACAGCATGTCAATGTCTGGCTACCTGATCTGGAGGCATAATCTAGCAGTTTACCTGTCTAAATTCTATTAGGTGTTTCTGAAAGGCATTATGGGCAAAGGAAGTGTGGGTACAAAATGAGATGCCATTTTAAAAATATTTGGCTGATATTATATTTTAAAACATATAGTCATAATAAATTGAAGCAAAGAAATCGAGTTACGAGATGCTGTGGAAATTATAATTGTGTGTTTTCCAACATTAATGTTAATAAGATATCAGTCATAATGTTGCATGAATGTAGATCTTTCATTTGTATAAAGGTTGAACCTCTGTAGTCCGGCACCCTTGGGACCATACCAGTGCCGAACCAGAGAATTTGCCAAACCATGGGAGGTCAATATTGTCTAGCTGCATGACCAACACTTCAACTGCTCACTGGGCTCTACTCACTGGGGTAAATTAGAACTAAATAATAGCACAGAACACTCATGGAACTGCAGGAAACTTGGCCACACCCATGATAAGTGGACATCCAGCTAATTAAAATCATGCCGGATCATGGATGTTGCCAGACCAGAGAGTGCCGGATTACAGCGGTTCAACTTGTATTGATTTCTCTTTCATGCAGAAGTAGAACCCTAGCAGAACACTTTTATCCCCATTTTCAATAAAAATGATAACAAAAGTTAAATATTTGCTGAGATAAGGACATGCTCACAAGATGTTTATTAATTTACAAACCCAAAGAATGGATAGCTTTCAGTGGAAAGCTCCATTCAGTTCTTCGTTTTGATATCTCTAGGGACTGTTGGTTGTTCTGCATCCACTGTGGCATCAAAACAAATGTTGCTACAAGGAAACCTGCCCCAAGCTTTGAAAAGCAAAGTTAAACAACTTATTATGAAAAAGCCCTGAGACTAAATTTGTCTAAGTAGGGTGATGTGTTACCATTGCTGAGTTTCCATACAATACACCAAAGGGACCTTGCATGATCTGTATTAATGAATGTCCATAATATTTTCATTGTACCTTGCTGCAAAAGCTATAAGGACAACTGGTTTACTAATAACCCAGCCCTAAATGATGTCTTACATCCATGACAGGACAGCAGGTCACAAGGTGGATAAAAAAAGCCTCTAGAGACCTCTGGTGGACAAACACAGATCTTTCTTTTTCTATTATGTATCTGTGTATTAATGAAATGTGGAATTTCATCGATAAGATTCCATGTGATTTTTTTCTTGCATTCCATAAGAATTTGTGGTTCTCTGCTTTCCCATGTTTTATTTTTTCCTTCCATGGCATATAGTTCATCTTCTGAATTGTCACTGGCTGTCATAATTATTGTAATTCCTGGTCAAATTATGACTATTTTATTTCCCTTTTAACAAAGGGTGGCATATAAAGCAAAACTCCTTGGGTGCAGCTTTTTATTCTGTCTTTATATGGCACCCAGAACAATGGGTCATGGTCCATGGCTAGACTCTAGAGCACGACAGTGATTCACGTAATTAATAATAATTATCTCTCTTTCTTGTTCCAGGTGCTGTAATTGCAAGGGATTATGGGCTGCCCTGTATTATGAAATGTAAGGGTGCAACCTCCTATTTTAAGTCAGGTTGGTTTCCATATTCCTTCATTTAGACGCAGGGCTCTACCAAATTCATGGTCCATTATGGCCAATTTTACAGCCATAGTATTTGAAAATTGATAAATTTCATATTTTCAGCTGTTTAAACCTGAAATTTCTTGGTGTTATAACCGGTGGGAAGGTCATTTTAGTCAACATTTTTTAGAGAGAATCCTGCGCTACCTTCCCACCACCTTTAATAAATCAAGGTTTTGTTTTATAGGAGACAGAGTGATACTGGATGGATTCAAAGGAACGGTGCAGAAAATTGAGGCATAAGACTGTTCACAGAAAGGAAAGGCCTACCCATGAAACTACGATACCAATTTGAAATGGTGCCTCTTCTTTTGGGAATACTCTGTCATATGTAGAGTAAATTTGTTGATCACTTATGAATGTTGGTGGTCAAGTTGCAATTCTTCCTGTTGAGCTAAAGATTAGGTTATCAATTGAGAACTATATAGTGACCATTCATATATCATGGAAAATCAAATTTAAAAAACCCAATGGATTCTCCTAGTGATAATTTTGTGAACAATCTGTTGGATAATATCTATTCTCCCAAACTATTCATTGAAAATGTGCAGACAAAGAGCACATTAGCAAAAGGAATGCCAACTTCACAAATAATGTGTATAAATGGCTAGCTTAAAATAGTTCAGCCATTGAAAGTTAAAGCAAGTAACAATGAGTGAAACTGGAATACTTTTCCATACAGTCTATGGAACTCACTGCTACAAGATGTCATTGAGGCCAAAAGTTCAATGAAACAGAAAAAAAATAGATAGTTAATATGGATTTAAAAAATAACTAACAATAATAAGGATTTAATAAATAGCTAACCTTGAAAGGGATAGAAACAGTTTTGGCTTCAGGGTATAGTCCCATCTCTAACTACTGGAGTTAGGAAGGGAACTTTCCCTGGGGCAAACTATTCCATAACCGCATACTGCAGAGTTCTTTGTTCCTTCCTCTAAAGCAGCTGGGCTGTGTCTAGACTACATGCCTCTGTCGTCAGAGGCATGTAGATTAGACACATAGGCAAAGGCAAATGAAGCCGCAATTTAAATGATCGCGGCTTCATTTAAATTTACATGGCTGCCACGCTGAGCCGACAAACAGCTTATCAGCCATGTCCTTACTAGGCAAAAGTATGGCAGGTTGTCTGGGGACTGAATAGCTGTATTCATGCTGGCAAAGTTCTGCTCTTGAATGGAAGTAACAGATTTCCAATGATTTAACAAAACTTGCATACACATGCCTAGAAACAAAGGAAAGTGCAGACTAGATCAGGATGCACCGACTCTAGTACACCAGGGGTACGTCTAAACTACATGGCTCCGTCGACGGAGCCATGTAGTTTAGACGTACCCCTGGTGTACTAGAGTCGGTGCATCCTGATCTAGTCTGCACTTTCCTTTGTTTCTAGGCATGTGTATGCAAGTTTTGTTAAATCATTGGAAATCTGTTACTTCCATTCAAGAGCAGAACTTTGCCAGCATGAATACAGCTATTCAGTCCCCAGACAACCTGCCATACTTTTGCCTAGTAAGGACATGTAAGCACTTGAAATATTTGTCTTCGAAGCCAGCTATCCTGCTGGGAGATATGCCTTGTCAAACGAAACATGCGCTCAATTTAGGAGTAATGGGATGACTTTTTCTGGCCATTATTTTACCAGAGATCAGACTAGATGGCCTAACAGTCACATCTGGTCTTAATCTATGAATCTATATGACTTGACCCAGTATGTGAATTAAAAATAAAAATAAAATTTGTATGCACCATGTAACACAATACATCCCAGGGCAATATATGCTCTTGTGTGGGGCCTTCTCTTACACCACACAGAATCAGCATTAACCAGCCTGAACAAGCTATTGCACAATTACCAGATTTTACAGCCATCAAACTGTTGTTCTTTGTCCATCAGATTCGGGGAGCCTAAGATTAGGGGAAACCTCCGTACATTGAAACAGTTATTTTTTGTTTGGTGGCAAATAATAGCTTAAAGATTAGAGAAATTTGCTTTCTCTCACCTCGGATGTTTACTCTGCTCAACTTGCCCGTCAGGATCCTTTTAACATTGTGCTTTTGGGGTTTTTAAAAAATTCTCTAGCCTTGTGTAGTCCAGGAACTGTTGAGGGACTCCACAATAAAGCTGGAGGATGTTGGGTATTTTAAAGAGAGCTCAAACATGGTCCCTAGTGATATATATTTTTTCCCCAGTACAGTCTTGGATTCCGTCCATAATCATCATCCAAATATAGACCTGGAATCCAAAGTTGTCTCCTACTTTACCCTCAAAGCTTTCCCATTTCACTTTGACAAATCACCAAGGAATATGACTCTGAATATTATTTTTAGTAGTTCAGTGTATTGGCCAATTAGGATTTTAATATAAAAATACTATCACTCTCTTCACAGTTATTCTCTCAGATAAAAAACAATTGCTTGGTTACAGACTTCACAGATCAATGTTATCACAGCTCTTATTTGCTTTGTGATATGAATGCTTAAACATATTTTTAATTTTTTGGGGGTCTCTTACTTTCATGTGACATGAAAACCACCATGACCTCAGCAGGCTATTTTCCTGTTGTTAAGCCCTGAACCCTAATCTGAAGGAAACAAACCCAGGTCCTCTTATTTTCAAACAGATAAGATTTGTGAGGTTATTAATCACAGGTTCAAATGGCTGTGGTGGGAATAGAAAGTGATATACCGTTTTATATAAAACTTGTCAACATTTATTACAGAGTTGGACCATCAGTCCAGTGGGAGCTTTAGAAAGTCATTCTGTGCCTGGTGTATGATAAAGAGCGATTTAACTGCATAAACAACCATGACATCACGCTGAACTTACATGTGCTTTCATCTGCCTCCTAATGATACAGTTTCTTTTTAGTGCATGGTATTATGCTTTGATTCTTGGATGGGGGAGTTGTCGCTTCTCCTGTGTGTCCTTTAATCTACCCACCCTTTAGATAATAGAATAAAATATTATTTTTCTCAAAAATCTTTTTTTTGGTATGCATTTTGTTCACGTTTATAGGGATAATTCTTTATCTGCTATAAATCAGCATCGTTCCAAAGAAATCAGGATAGATTAGGTCAAGATTTGGCCAATCAAATGGAATCTTGGCCAGTCCATATGCTGGAAAACAGCCACCTCTCCCACTGCTAATAATAATAAAATTGAAATGGTCCCTGCCGTGCTAACATGTAACATATATACTGTATATTTGACAGCGTTTTGTGCATCTGTCTGTCCATCTGTGAGTCTGTTTGTTCAAGCACGCCTCCAAAAAGGTAAGAGCTAGCACCACCGCATTTGGAACGGTGCTTCCTTTTATCATAACTTAATGCAAGGTCAGGGTTTGGTTTTGCCAGGACAATGGGATGTGCCTGGAATTGTAAATGGAAAAGGAAGGGTCTGGCATTAGGAGAGTTATACAGTAGAATGACCACAGGGGGGCAGCAAGGGGCCAGTGATGAGGACCAGGACAGCGATAACCCCACTGGGCCAGCAGGGGGCAGGTATGGAGAAAGGGACAGCTATCTACTATATATTTCAGAGAGTTTGTCTGTGTGTCTATATCAGGGGTCTCCAAACTTTTCAGCCCGAGGGCCGCATTAACTATCAAACAGCAGTTCTGGGGCCGACTACACACTTGAGGTCCAAATAAAAAACAATCAAAACATGGATGTTGTTTTTAATTATTTATTTAATATTATTTTATTCAGTTATTATTTAATAACACATTGATACACTACACATGAACACCTGTATTAGTGTGAATGGTGAAATTGTTTCCTGGATGCCAAAATAGCAGACATTTCTGGCTTTAGATTTGTTGTCCCTAACATCAACACGTAAATTTCCATAATTTTTTTTCTGTAGACAAAAAGGTCTCCACGGGCCGGATGAGAGGGCCTCGCGGGCCGCATCCGGCCCGCGGGCCGTAGTTTGGAGACCCCTGGTCTATATGACTGTGTGTCTGTCTGCATCCCTTCCCCTGGCTGTGCCTGCTGCAGCTGCAGCTGCAGGAGCCATGGACAGGCACGTCTCACCTGGCCCCAGCCTGCTGTGGTGAGAGGGGGTTTGGGTAGTCCTCTCTTCCCAGGCAGCCTGTATACTGAACCCCTCATCCCTAGCCCAGCCCCAGAGCAATGATTTAAATGAAGAAAAACAAAAGTTATCGGAGTTAAGGACCTGAGAGACACTCGGTAAATCTTCTAGTATCTCCATATGACAGTGGGATGTGCCAGGAATTATAAAATGGAAGGGGAAGGGTCTGGCAGGAGGGACAGTTATGCTTCAGAATGACCACAGAGGGGCAGCAAGGTGTCAACTGATCATGTCCAGCCTATTGAAAGAAATATTTGTCTTTTCAATGCACACTGTTCTTATTATTACTTAGGAGCCCTACTCATGGGCCAAGCTCCATTGTGAGGTGTGTTACACAAACACAGAACCAAAAGACAGGTGAATCTGTGACCAAGCAGGGCTGAATCAGGTAATAGGCCTATTGTAAGTTCTTCAGAGCAGAGCCTATTTCATGGGTAAGCTAAACTTAAAGACTAATAAATCACTGGATCAATTGACAATTGTCGGTACAGTAGAATTTAGAGCAGGACAGATTTCTTCTGTTGGGGGGGGTCACAGTAAGCTTGAGGACCGCTGAATGGCCTTTGGCTAAAGGTGCTGTCACCCATCAATAGCACACTGCCATTCCTGTAATGGTGTAGTGTAAAACTTTCATATAGCTCCTGTCAAGGTCTGTTCAGTGAGCATTCATTCTGATACACAGTTCTCAGACCAGGGCTATGCTTAGACATATGCAGCTGCGTAGGGCAGCACTACATTTGGGCATAAGTGATGTTCCAAATTTAGTAGTGCCATATGCTGCGTATGACTAGAGTCACCACCGGCCACGGGCAGCGCCATCTCCCATGGCTCCAGTCCCCTGACCCTTCGCCCACTGCTCCATGTTTGAGCCCTGTTGGCCCCCGTCCTCCACCTTCTGCACCCTGCTCTGCCTTCCAGCCCCAATCCACCAGACCCCTGGCCCATGTTCCACCTCCCAGCCCTGTCAGACCCAAATCCTCCACCCCGCAGTCTCCCTGCCCCCCAATCCACCTGTTTGTCTGCAGCTCCAGCTGGCTGTGCCACTCATGTACCTGCTCCCTCACCAGCTACCCGCCCATCCCCCCACAGAGCTCTTGCCTCCACCGCCTTGCCCTCATGGAGTGGCAGGGGATGGACAATGCAGGTGTTCAGGCTACACAGGACATCTAAAATCTTAAGAAGAGCCCTGTCTCAGACAAGTTAGTAACAGTGCTCTAAGACTTTCAGTATTACTTATTTAGGACTGGCTTGCAGCACCTAAGATTGTGCTAAGTGCCTTGTGGTAAAGAATAGATGAACTCCAACAAGCGCACTAATTTCTGCCACATCGTCTCCTTTTGAGCGATTTGTGGGACCGAGACCCCTTTGAAGCACTGTGGAATCGGTATCAAGGGTTCTGGGCTTGTGCCTGACAGACAACTGTTCTGAGCAGCTGAGGATAAAAGATCACGGGAGGTGAAAAAAAACCTCCAAACCCTGAGAAGCCTTGTTTTAAGGGATGAAAAACGTGCAGTCATTTTGCAGGCTCTTGGCGGCACTTAGGAAGGATTAAATGTGGCCTCTGGGGGAAAAAATGGTCTCTGAATCAGACAGAAATGTGCAGTGAGTGGAGAGATTACATGGTGG